CTACGAGTGTGTATATAAAGCTCAAAAGTAGACTCATTCCTGTATTTAGGATAAAAAAAAAATGAAGCATGTCATATTCCAGAAACTGGCTGGGCCTGGAACTTGGCACAGAAGATATAGTTAGCAGTTTGTAAGCTTTGAAGTGAAAGTCTCCCCTCCTCTTTTACTAGCAATGAAAAAATCTTTAAAGGAAAGGCACGCGAGTGGGTGAGGAGTATTTTTCCATGGTGAGCTACGTAATGTCTTTGGTGTAATTCCCTCTTTAGACAGCTAGCTGCCTTATGTTGGCACTACCAGGCTACGTCTTACACTAACCCCAGCCCACAGAATGCAATCAGCTGTGGATATTTTCAGTGGACCATTTCCTCCCATCATATCCAGCATAAGCTAAAATGTTGTAATGGAATAACAGATATTTAAAGCAGTGGTTCTCAAAATTTAAAGAATCACCTAGAAATATATTAAAATTAAAATTAAATAAATTAAAATTCAGGTGCTGAGGCTTCATGCCCAGAGAGTCTATCTAATTCTACATATGTGTGTGGGGGGGGGCCGCAAAGGTATGTGTGTGTATGAGAGAGAGAGAGAGAGAGAGAGAGAGAGAGAGAGAGAGAGAGAGAGAGAGAGAGAGAGAGAGAGAGAGAGAGAGAGAGAGACAAAGAGAGAGAGAGAGAGAGAGAGAGAGAGAATGAATTGCATGCATGCATGTTTTTTTGGGGGGGTGGGGAGATTTCATTTTAACAAGCAGCCCAGGCGATTACAATATAGGTGATCAATTGACCTTACTGAGAAACATTTCATCTTGAACTTTCAAAATGTTAAAATTCTTTGGCCCCTGAAAATTGGGAGTTTAAATCAMAGCAATATATTCCTATATATAAAAAGCATTCATCATCCCAAGAAAAAGAAGAGCAAATCCAACTTCGGACTTCCCATGGGATATCTCTTGATATCTTCTTTGCAATTCTTTAAGGTAATTAGAGTGGGTGATCTTATCCTGACTTTGTTGATTAGGAAATTAGCACAGGTTAAGCAATTGCCCAAGGCTGTGTGGCTCTGGCTGGGGCATAAGCCAGGCCTCCTGACCTTTGAGAGCAGAGGTCAAGTCAGATGGACCCCCTCAGATACTCCTGAAGTCAGAAACCCTGGGAAATTCATGAAAAAAAAAAAAATATATATATATATAAAAGCACATTTCCTGATCTGGTTTTCCATCCAGTCCTCCTCATCTCTCCATTTCCAAGCTATATGCCAACAACCATATTATTATTTTCCATTTTGAGACATTTTACGCCCTTAAGGAGAAACCCATGGGCATGGTTATGCCCCTGGGGGAAAGAAACCCACATGGTCCCCTATTGGAAAGCATCATCATCTCTTTTCCATAGCTGAAGACCTTTATATTAACCAGGATGGACATAACCTGAGTTGTTAACTTACTGTAGATCTAAGCCTGGGCTTAGAAAAATGGAAAACAGGGTGTCCCTTAAAAACCCCATAAATGCTGCACATTTTTAGGAGAGGAAATGTGCACATGACTTCTTTGATTTCAAAAACTTCCACTGGGACTTCCTGGCTCTTTGTCTGGTGGGGTTTTACATACCATATCATGAGGTGCCTTGGGGCAGATAGAAACTCTTTTTGAGAGTGGAGAACAAATATTTAATTCTACAGCCCTTCCTTTCCTTTGCCCTCAAGGGAAAACCTGCACTCTCCCCCACGTGAGAAAAACTCCAAATATAATGGACTAGACAAAGAAATATTTAATCACATTAGTTTAGGAAGCTCTGGCAGAACACAATGCATCTTTTCAAGGTTGAAGATGTTATGAATAGACAGAATGTTTTTGTGTCAAGTCTCTCTGGGGCTCTTGGGTACAAAATGCCATTTGCCTTTAGACACTTTTTAATTCTAGAGCTTCAAGGAACCACTTTCATTTGCTAAAACCCTATTGCATAGTCAAATAAAAAATGGCTTGTAAAAAGTCACTAAAATCATTATTAACATAGTAATTTTTCAAAAGCAGTCTTTGCCCAAGAATACCCTTCACTCTAAGCATTCACCAACCTAGAACCCAAGGAATGGATATGGCTTGGTCATATAGTTCTCCCAAAGCAGCTAATTCCTTTTATGAATGACACCAGAGGCCAGTTGCTTGCTTTCTTTATAACACCATTCAATTCCTTCTAGAATGGCATGAAGCCTTCCTGAGACTACCTTTAGCCACTCTCCACTCAAGCAATTCTTCAAAAAAGTTATAAAATGTTTCACAGTTATTGCCACTTTTCAAAGAATCAGCAAGCTGTTGAATCAAAATAGAGTGGCAGACAGAAGGTAAAAATACTAAATTCAGTCAGGACATGGAAGTCATACATAGTTTTCTGACACCATTTTTCCACTCACCCTGGAGGAAGACTACAGATGATAAACAGCTCTTTAAATGATGGAAACTAATTAATCCTCTCGCCCAAAGTTAATGGAAACCTTAGTCTCATCCAGGTATGTCTGTCTCAAAACAGCATCATTTGCTTCCCGTTGAAGCCAACCAATCAACCCACAAAAAGGTAAAAAATTCATGGTTTAAATGGGAGGAAAAAGGGTTTTTAAACAAAAGTGAAATATAATAAGATCACTCCTTTGCTCTTGGATGATAGAACAGCTCTCTAAATTGTTACTGGAAAGTCCACAAAGACATTTAATGATGGAAATACATTCTGAGAAATGCATTGGTAGTCAATGTCCCCATTACTGGAACATCATGGAAGGTACTTACACAAACTAAGACAGCTATAATATCACGAGGTCATATAATCATGTGGACTCACCCATGAAAGTACAGGGTCTGGTTTTGGTGGAAATATCATTATGCAGCACATGAGTGTATGTAAATGTCATCCTTAAGCTGAGCCTTGGAACCACCCAGACTGGCAAGTTCATGTGACTTGTTCAGTAAGAATGTGGACACCTTACAGGGCTGCATGATAATCCTGGCCCCTCTGCAGTTTGCTCGTCAACTGATTGATGGAAGCCAGTCAACAACCAGCCTAATTCATGCACATAGGAATTGGAGACACGAAGCAATTGTATACAGAGGGGTTTGCTAGAACAACACTGTAGAGGACACAGAGGGGCTTTCAAAGGAATGGCTTTGCCCGCCAGTCACACACAACTGACCTCATCCTGTCCGCTGTCACTCTTCTCTAATTTAGAAGCCTGTCTGTAACAATCCACTACAGTCCCATCTATTGTTCTGTAAAATTCTTCAAATGAAATCAGAGTAGACACGCCCTTACCCAGGAGGAGAGAACACAAAGCCGATATTCTAAGTTTCCATGACTTACCAAATGATGAGTACTGGATTCTTTTCTGGGTTTGTTTTGTGGGGGACAAATCACAATGCTTTGCAATAGAGTTGATGTCTTTAAGTGAACAAAGTATCTTTGTTGGGAAATTCTCATTCTGCTTTACAATAATCTTGTGGGTTCATTCAATCAATGCCCTGCAATTTCCTCTACCGCTTGGAATTGGAAAAGGAGTGAAAGAGTGCTGCATTTGTCCTCTTCCTTACAGAAAGCAAAAATGCATCTGAGGATGTGCAGCACAGGGCCAGCTTGCTTGCCTCCCACACTCATGGAGATACCAGAAACCATGGGTTATTAGTTGATTTACCAAGTAAAAAGGCAAGCAATGCCACCTGGGCTATCTTAGACATCAATAGAACATGTATCTAGACTTTGGTAGACCCAGGAATTTTTGTTCATATCTACTGTAAGGCAGAAGTAGCATCCCAATCTTCCTCTAAAGTAGGTATTCTGGAGGCTAATCCAAAATGGAAGCCCCTGACCTACAGTTCTTGATGTTGTCCCACAGCAGAATGAACATGCTCCTGCAAACCCAGGTGTGGAGAGACCGATGCAAATATCTGGTTGACTCATTGCATATCCCTTGCCAACAGTTGTCCAGTGCTTGAGATTGAGCCAGAAACAGTGACCATCTCATTGCTGACTGATGCTCAGGATAGTGTATGCTGGCCTGGATCTGGGGAGAGGCACAGGCAGAGAGCTTGGCAGTGGTCTTCTGGCTATTCATGAAGGAAACTCAGAGTCCTGGAGCCCAGAGAATGGACCTGAAGAGGGGGCTGGCTCTGCACACTATGGCTTTTAACTCCACAAAGAGGCACACACCCAACCATGGAGGCCTGCTCCAGAAGTCTCCTAAAGCTCAGGACTTGGATAGTCCCTTGTTGAGGTCTAAGGGTAGCACTAGCTGAAGACAACTCCAAGGAGGAGATGGTGGAGTGGGTCTGGGAGACCTGGGCTTGCATAGCTTTGCCTGAAAATTAAGGAATCTTGTATCAAAGAATTGCTAAACTCTTTCCTCTTCACACCCAGTACTGTGGGATTCTGTGATCCAGTTGTCACTGTTGGCAGGTCTATCTCAGACACTGGACAAAGATAACACAAAAGAAAATTCAAAACCATTCAAACAAATATAAGTTGTCTATCTCAGCCTCCCTAGTTCAAAGAGATAAATGAGAAATTCTGGCTCATTAAAAGTCTGGTTAGGAGAGAGATTTATCTTTCACAGGTGACCAATTACCAATTAAGCAGCTAATCCTGTTGTTAACATTAAACTTATGATAATAATCATTGGATTATGAACAACTCAAAACAGCTCTGGTTTTTCCAAGGGCTACAAACCATAGACATAAAGTACTATGTAATGAACACATAATTTATTATGGAAATGTGAACGGGGGGGGCGGGGGCAAGTCAGATGACTTAAAATTTTATGACTTATAATTTCAAATGTCGGTTCTGTGGACTGGACATCCTCTCCCAGGTGCCTTGATTTGGTGCTTCTGATAAGTTTTGATGGGAGCAGGTAACAACGGTCTTCCTGAAGTTCACTGTCACAAGACACCACTTTGCTCACACATACATATATAAAAACACTGCTGATGGAAGATAGGAGGCACACTCATAGCTCATAGTACTGACCTGCCCTCTCATGTCTGGAGCAATGGGGATGGTGGGCCAGATGGTTGAGTAGACGACAAAAAACAACAGCCACATCACCATGCTTCCCCACACAGCCAGGTGACTGAACTGCAAAGGAGACAGATGCTCAGATAGTCCCTCTGTTGGCCAGGTGATCCACCCCAACCCCACCTGCTGCAGAATTCCCCCCTCCAAGCCACCTTTCCTGATGGAAAGACTGTGAGGACTCTATTCCCTGGTCTCAGAATTTTTAACAATGAATTTAATTAACTCGTGGCTATCCTGAAGATCAAAGTGTTTTTGTGTCACAGCTGACCATCCTCTGAGACATCCCCTAGTTACAGCAGGCTTTGCTCAGTTCATTTCAAGTATCTGCTGCACCTGGGGATGGTATTGATCTAGTGAGAGAATGGTGGAACAGACAAATGAACAAGAAGTTTTTATTTATCACTAGGAGACTTTGATTGTTCTGTTCATTTGCAAAAGAGATTTTTTTGACACCTGAAATGATATTACATCTTTTAAATTTTTAAGTTTTAAATTGACATTAATAATGGAACATGTTTATGAGTATATTGTAATATGATAGTACATGTATATAATGTGTGTGATCAGATGAGGGTAAATGGCATAACCATCACCTCAAATATTTATCATTATTTTGTGTTGGGAACAGTCAAAATCTTTTGTTTTGAAATATATATCTATGTTTTTTAACCACGATTACTGCTTGCTGTAGAACTTAGAAATGACTCCTCCTATTTAACTGCATTCTTGTCCTGTTGACCATCCTCTTTCCTTCCTCTCCTTCCCTCTCCACTCTTCTCAGGCTCTGGTAACCACTATTCTGCTCTTTGTTTCTACAAGATCAACTGGCTATTACAGTTTAATACCTCCTTAAGCATCTACTGAGTTGGTTATTTTTGTCTCCTTTGTACTCTTATGGTCCTTGACCTCTTCTTCTATACCTCACAATTCAATCCATCGGCAAGGTTTTGTTTTGTTTTGTTTTCCCCTTAAAACAAGTACTTCCAGAATCTACCCACGACTCACTACCTTCTGCTCCAACATTCCAGGCTGTCGCCATCCCCTCCCTGGAATAGGTGTTAACAGATTCCCTGACTCCACACTGATCTCCCACCCACCCCATCCCATCTTCTTAGCAAAGCATCAGGTGAGTCTATTGAAGCTGCAGCTAGCCATGACCCTCCAGGGGTGACAAACATGAAAAACGGGTTATAACCCCCAAACCTTAGAAATAACCAAAGTACCTAAAATAGGGAACTGATTAAATAAAGATGGGATATATCTATGAAATGTCATTGTCTTTAATCATGAACAATGATTTTTGTAGGAGTATATTTTAAGGAATAAAAATGTTCCTAATATATTTTAAGAAAGATCACAAAATTCTATGTTCTACAATGCATGCTATTTCAAAACACACAGAAGAATGTATGGAGGCTCACAGAATAAAGTGTTACCCATGATTATCTCTTGGTAGTAAAATTACATGAAAATATGTAAAGTTTCATTTTTTTTTCTCTTTTGTGTTTTCTGTGCATGTGTGTGTTTCCATCGAGCCAGCATATACATTTGAAATAAGGTGACTAATGATAGCTTTGAGCCATATTAGCAAATGAGGCAACAGGAAACACTGGATTGAAAATTTKCCCTGAAAAAGATCAAACCACAATTTTTACATGCAAAACTTAATATAGCTAGATATTAATTATCCCAATGCTTAAAAGGAAAATCATAGTATGAAGATTATCTAGACTGCAGAGGGAGGAGCAATCCCAGAGAGGACTCACTTTAGTCCAAGCTGTAGTCTCCAAACCAGCTTTCAGACAAACTGTAACCACAACGTACTGTGAAAAGAAAGAGGAGTTAGGAAAAATGAAGGACACTACTTTTACTTTCTAGGAGAAATCCCAGATCTCCCCTCCAGCGTCAGTTCCTCTAACCCACCATACTTTGAAGGTACCATCTTGGTAGCTAAGTTGCTAGGGGATGTTTTTAGGAAATGAACAGAATGAACAGACAGGTTTATTCAAGAAAAGTGCTCATCGCAGTCTCTTCCCACAAATAACTGCTCTGTCCTTTCTTAGAGGATTTGGGGGAAAACATCTTCCTTAGTACGCTTTGCTTTTAAAGATGTAAAAGGTCTTTTGAAGACCTTTTACATCTTTTTACACCTTTTACATGTAAAAGGTCTTTTGAAGACCTTTTGAAGACCTGCTCATCACCTCTCCAGACACTTCGACTCAGTATACTCTCTGCTAAACAATAATGTAACCATTGAACCTTAAGGAATCTATAATATATAAACATTTGAAATATGACAATAAGAAAAGCCTTACCTAAGGGATTAGATAAGTATCCCCCACATATGGGCCCTTTAGGAGTGGCTCAATAAAAAGAGATGAACTTACCGTGTAAACAATATTTCCAACAAATAAATAGTCTGTGGCATGACCATTGCTGAATGGAGTATCTGAAAAATAAAGAAGCTGTTATTAACTTCTGAGATCTGAGATGGCAGTCTATTTTATCCACAATATAAAAATGAAATTTTTAGAAATGTGTATCAAAATGGGAGGGCATTTCAAAATTGAATCTTCTGTGATTCTACGGCTCTTTCTTTTTGTGACTCCATTTTTTATATTGTATTCTCTCCAAATGAAGCAAACAAAATCATGTTTCCAACAAAACAAACAAAACAAGTCTTGATCTGCACGAAAATTTACATTTGTATAAAGATTACAATCTCTCTTTGCCCAACTTATTATTATTWTTTTTTAAGACAGAAATAAGAACATGTTGATCTATCTACCATGGCTATCTTTCCAGCGGTGGAAATTTTTCAAGTTTTCATTTACTATTTATTGTTAAGTTTTGCTAAATTGGAATTGTGCATCAATGAAAGAAGAGAGCCACACAGATACAAAATCAATCTGTAATGACTGAACTCTATTCTGGGGGAATATTCATTGCTYCTGTCTTCCTTTGCAGCTACAAGAACTGGAGTCTAGCATTTGTGAGGATTACAAGTGAGAGACGTTTCCAGTTTTTACATTCTTCCCTTCCTTTCCCTTCCCTCCCTTTCTGATGGCTATTACCAGGAATATAACAACTGCTAAGTCAGAACTCTCTTAGAATTGTCTAATTCATGTCAGCTAAGATAGCCCTGTCCTGAGAAGTCTTGGTTCTTATGCTGAGAAGTAAAAGCCTATTTTAAGATCAGAAATGGTTCCCTTGGATATCGCTACAAACCTCCTTTTATTCTCCCTTATACTCAAATTCAGATCTGTGGTCAGGTTTTTGTGTTCAAATTTCCAACCCAGTAGCTGCTATCCATATGTATTGGGGCTTACTGATTTACTCATCTGCTTGTTGAAAAATCCTACCCTTGCTAAGGAATCGAGATCTGTTTCATTTCTTAAGACAGTGTAATCATCAAGTTGAGTCATGGTGGCATCTGGAAATGGTGGGTCCCTGAATCCAGCTCTAGGGCACATGCTTTCTCCTGATGTGGACAGGGGAAGGTTAACCACTAGCGTGGCACTGGGGTTGCATGAAGTACAGTCCTAAATGGAGAAGATCCTATGGGGAAGGAAAAGAATTGCACTGGGAGAGCAGAGAGAGAGAGATGCAGCCACAAAAGGAACCATCTCAAAGCTTAGGAGAGACATGGTAAACGCAAGAAGGAGAGCTTACCCGAGACTTCGTCAGAACGGGAGGAGCAGAAATAATTGAAAAAGTGAAGGAGAGCCTAAACTAATCTCAGGAAGACAACAAACAATGTATAAGTTGAACATCATTAATCTGAAGAGCTCCAAAATCCGGATACAAAATATTGGATTTTGGATTGGGGATGCTCAACTAACTAAATTCTGAGCAAAGATTCCCAAATCTGAAAAAAATCTCAAATCTGAAACCCTTCTGGTCCAAAGCATTTCAGATAAGGGACACTCAACCCGTATCTGCAAACAGTTATTCAAAACTGTGGGGGTTTGCTTTTCAGTAACTGGCTCTAAGATTGTTTCAATAATAAGTGCAAAAACATTTTGTTTGTTTGTTGAGTCAGGTTCTCACTATGTTGCCCAGGCTGGTCTCAACCTCCTGGACCCAGGGATTGTCCTACCTCAGCCTCTGGTGTGTTGTGATTACAGGAGCTTGCCACCACACAGGGCTAAAGTGCAATAAATACTTTTAAAGGTATACCTCAATAACAAAACACTTGAGATTAGGCAGAGGATCATTTCTTTGATTCTAACAGAGATTATAGTTTTGAAAATAGTAGTAACCTTATTATTTTATGTTCTCAACAAAGTTTTACTTTAAGTCTAATTGGGGAGAGAAGGTCCCTGTCTTCATGGAGCTCACATTATAATGAAGGAGACAGGACATAAATAGATAAACAAATAGATACACCATACACTATTGTGTGTAATAAGTGCTATGAGGAAACATAAGGCAGAGTAATAGAACACAGAGTGATGGGGGAGGCTATTTTAGATTGGGAGGTAACATCCAAGCAGATTAAAATGCTGTAAGGAAGTTAAATGACCATCAAGAATGGCATGAGGGAGGGAGTTAATGACTTTTGAGAGAAGAGAGTTCCATGCAGACAGAAGACAAATTGCTAAGAGTCTGAACACAGACAGCCCTTGATGAGCTCAGAGACCAAAATGGAGACCAGTCTGGCAAGAGACACAGAAAGAAGGAAAAAGAGTATATAATCAGGCTGAGGAACATATCAACACAGGCATGGTGAAGTGTCTGGGCTTCTGCGTACATGGTGACAGGACACCATTCCCAGCTCAGAGGAGGATTCTGAGCTGGGAATACAGAGGTGTGAGCTAGGCTCTTAAGGGAATGATGCAGTTTTTACAGAACAATAGAGCATGGTGACCAAGAGTGCAATAATAAACACAGTGCCAGCCGGCAACAATGGTAGGCACCCATCCAGCGGGGGACGTTAGAGCAGCCCTATATGGTAGCTACTAGCTGCATTTAGTCATTTACCTTTAAACTCATTCAAATAAAATACAATTAAAAAATCAGTTCCTCCCAAGGGCCAGAGAGGAGGGGGAGAATGAGGAGTTATTGCTTAATGAGGACAGTTACAGTTTGATGATGTTGCACAACATGCTCAATGTAATTCATGCCTCTGAATTGTACACTTGAAACGGCAAAGTCCAGTATATATATTTTAAAAATCATGGTAGAAAATAAACAAAAAATGGATCATAGAACCAAACTACACAACTCTTAGGATAAAACAAAGCAGAAAATCTGGCCTCAGATTTGGCTGTGATTTCTAAGACGTGACATCAAAAGCACTGTGACAAAAGTGAACAGTAGATGAAACAGACTTGATCAAAATCAGAAACTTCCATGCTTCAAATGGTACCAGCAAGAAAGTGGAAAAACTGGAAGCATGGAAGAAAATATTTACAAATTATCCATCTGATAAGGAACTTATATCCAAGATATAGAAAGAACTCTTACAACTCAACAATAAAGAGACGAAAGAAAAATCAGTTCAATTTAAAAATGGGCCAAGGACCTGAATAGACATTTTTGCAAAGAAGGCCTACAAATGGCTAGTAAATGCATGAAGAGAAGCTCAACATCATTAGGCATCAAGGAAACCATTAAAACAACAATGAAATATCACTTAACACCCACCTAGATGTCTGTCACATAAAAGACAGTAACAAGGKTTGGTGAGGGGGTGGAGAAATTAAATCATCTATATGCTGCAGGTGGGAAATCAAAATTGTGCAGACACTTTGGAAAACTGAAGGGCAATTCCTCAAAAGATGATACATATTACAATTTTGCTTAGAATATGTGTTTTTTACCTCTAAAAATGAAGACTTCAGACAGGTCCAAGATGCATCTACCTCTACCTCTTTTAAAATACGAAACTTCATGCACATGCACCTTCTAACGTGGAATTTAATGGCAATAAAAATCAATTGGCCCCATCAAAAAAATGATGCATATTTATTACATGTTCCAGTAATTCTAGTCCTAGGTACATAGCCAGGAAGTAAGAAAACATATAAATGAAACACACAAAAACTTGAACACGAGTGTCCATAGCAGTATTATTCATAATTACTCATCACAGCCCAAAATAATGAAAAGCATTATTCATTATTCACAAGGGCCTATTCATAACCCAAATGTCCATCAACCAGTGGATGAGCAAATAAATCTCCATCAATTGGTGAATGGTGTATCAGTACAATAGAATGTTATTAAACAATAAAAAATAATGAAGTACTGACACATGCTACAACATGGAGAAGTCTTGAAAAACTTATGCTATGTGAAAGAAGCCAAAAACAAAAGGCCATATGTTATATGATTCTATTCATACAGAATTCCAGAACAGGCATATCGTCAGAGACAGAATGCAAACCAGTGAGCTGGAGGTGTTTGGGAAAATACAGAATGACAGCTTTTGGAGGCAATGAACATGTGGCTAGTTAAGATGATGGTTGCACAATGCTGAATATATTAAAAACCAGACGGGGCTGGGGTTGTGGCTCAGCGGTAGAGTGCTCAGCTAGCATGTGCAACACTCTGGGTTCGATCCTCAACACCACATATAAAAAAGGTATTGTATGCAACTACAACTAAAAAAATAAATAAATATTAAAAAAAACAAAAAACAAGAAAATTATTCTCTTTGCATAGATATAAATTATATCTTAATAAAATATCATACAAAATTTGGTTCCTCAGTCATACTAGCCACATTTCAAACACTCAATAGCCACATGAAGTTCAGATGGCACAGGTATAAAACATTGAATTTTCATTGAGGTTGGAAGTTCTACTGGACAATGCAGGGTTGGAGTGGCTATGTCCAAGGTGACAAGGAATGATAGAAATTGTTATACTGTAAAGTTATAAATGATAGTATTTGCTCATGATTTGGATGTAGGGTAGAAAAGAATGTGAGGAATCAAGGGTGATATCCAGATTTTTGGCCTGAGCCCTGAGGTCAACCGTAGAATCATTAACTTGAGATGGAGAACACTGGTTCTAGTTGTATTAACACAGCAGCAATGGTTCAAAAAAAAAAAAAAAGCATGTAAGGACTTGGTACCAAGTGTTTAAAATTTCCAGCTTATGACAGGAAGAACAGCTAACAATGAAGCATGGCTGTATTGCAAGAGAAGAAAAAGGAAATTTAGGAAAATGAGGTGGAGAGAAGAAACTGGGGTTAGTGGAAACAATCCCAGTAATGAGAATTAGAAGACTCTGTTCAGCCCTTCTCTCTTATCCCAGCTCTGTTGTTATTTAGTGTATTTTTTCTTTTTTTAAATTTTAGATTCTAAGTCCCAAGATTTTCAACTATAAAACAGAGAAGCAAACAATGATGATGACTGAACTATGTCCAAGGTTCCTTTCAAATAGGAAATTCCAAGATGTTCTTAGCTGCCAAATCAGCCCCATACATTTAGTGGCAGG